CCCTTCTCTCTTCCATCTCCCCTCTTCCGCCTCCAAATACTTCCTCCTGCCCCCAATTCCCTCCCTTTTATCATCCATCCCCTCCCTTCCCTTCTCTCCCTTCCCTTCTCTTCCCTCCTTTCCCTATCCCTTCCCTTCTCTCCCTTCCCTTCCCTTCTCTCCTCCATCCCCTGCGCCTTCCTCCCTCCCCATCACAATTCTCCCCTCACCTCGCTCGCCCCATATATACCCCCCCAGACCCACGCCCACGCCCACCGCCCATCGCCCCCGCCCACCGCCCACCGCCAGCAGAAAGGAAGGGAAAAAGTCGCCGCAATATTATTCAATCCTTCAAATGCAGGTTAATCTCGGGGGACCTTCGGGTAATGGAGCGCAGGCCGGGGCGGGCGCGTGTCTGGCATCACGGCGGCGACGCTCACGGCACCCGCTCGCTAATCTCGCCGCGTCTGGACACCGTTTGATATATAAGAAGTGAATGAATGGATGAAAATTATATACATATACATACATACATACGTACATGCATACATACATAAATACATACATACATACACACGCACACAAACACATACACACGCGTAGATGTAGATATAGATAGACAGATAGATAGTTGACAGATATTCACACATACATACATAAATTCGTGTATGTGTGTGTGTGTGTGTGTGTAAATTTGCAAGCGTGCATGCATGCCTGTGTGTCCGTGTGCATTTTTCCATGCCAATCGATGACGCTGCAGATCTGCTTCTTGAGAACACCTAATCCTATGTAAATCCTTACCAACCCAACCCCTTAAACCGACACACCGGTTACCACAAACATTTCTCACAAACACACAAACAAACGAATAAAGAAGTAAAAAAAAAAAGACTAAAATAAAGACTGAACCTTCCAGCAGGATCATCCCATTAAATTCCGTGTCATCCTAAAGACCCCAATGCGCTGCCTATTGCGGGCCGACACGAGGCACGCAGCCCGGCCGAGGCGAACACGCCCTCTCGCGGGGGGGGGGGGGGGGGGGGGGGAGGCAAAACAAACGAGGGTGAGAGGGAGGAAGAGGAGGATAAAGTGGGAGAGAGGAAGAGGAGGATAGAGTGGGAGGGAGAGAGGGAGGGAGGGGAAGGGAGGGGGAGGAAGAGGAAGAGAGGGTGGGGGAGGGGGAGGAAGAGAGGGAATGAGAGAGGGAGGGAGGGGGAGAGGGAGAGGGAGAGGGAGAGGGAGAGAGAGAGATGGAGAGAGAGAGAGAAAGAGAGAATCAAAAATAAGAAAGAGACAGACAGAGAGTCAAACAGAACTAGAACCAAGACAGATGAACCGACAACGCGCAGAAAACGAAACAAAACAAACAGAAAAAAAATAACAAAAAGCGAAAAGTCAGAAAGAGAAAGAGAAAGAGAAAGAGAGCAAAGGAAAGAAAACCCACAGTGTCCCCGGGCTCGGACTGTTCCATGACGCAACCTTCAAATAAGCACCAATGATGAGCGTGGGGAGCTCGGAGCGGGGCGCGGGGTGGGGGCACGGGGAGGGGAGAGAGAGAGGAGCGGGGTAGGGAAAGAGGGAGCAGAGGGGAAGGGAAGAGGGAGGAGAGGAGGAGGGAAGAGGGAGGAGAGGGGAAGGGAAGAGGGAGGAGAGGGGAAGGGGAGAGGGAAAGGGTAAACGAAGAGAGAGGGGGAGGAGAGGGGGAGGAGAGGGGAAGGGGAGAGGGAAAGGGTAAACGAAGAGAGGGGAGGAGAGGAGAGAGGAGAGAGGAGAGAGGAGAGGAGAGGGGGGAGAACAGAGGAGGATGAGATGAGATGAGATGAGAGATGAAAGAGAGAGGGAACAAAGAGAGGAACAGATGAGGGGAAAGAGACGGGTAGGGGAGGGTGAAGAGGTGAGAGGAAAGAGGGAAAAAATGAGAGAGAGAGGGGGAGGGAAGAGGGGGAGAAGAGAGGATTGGGAGGAGTCCATTCTTGCTCCTCCCCCTCCCTCCCCCTGTTCATTCCCCTGATTGATAGACACATCACATACCGCGGAGTTACATCACAGGTGTGACTTTGCAAGGGATGTTGAAAGGAAGGAAGGAGAGAGAGAGAGAGAGAGAGAGAGAGAGAGAGAGAGAGAGAGAGAGAGAGAGAGAGAGAGAGAGAGAGAGAGAGAGAGAGAAAGAGAGAGAGAGAGAGAAAGAGAGAGAGAGAGAAAGAGAGAGAAAGAGAAAGAGAGAGAGAGAGAAAGATAGAGAAGGAGAGAGAGAAAGAGAAAGAGAGAGAAAGAGAAAGAGAGAGAGAGAGAGGACAAGGAAAGAAAATTGAGTGCTTAGTAGGAACTGACATCATACCAGCTGCCCTTCTACCCAGGGGACAACCAGCTGCATTACTATTCTAGAGTACCACCGGCTCCACTACCCCAGGGGGCCACCAGCTGCCTCTCAACCCCAGGGCACCACTAACTGTCTCTCTACCCCAGGGCACCACCAGCTATCCCAGGTAACCACCAAATAACCCACTACCCTAGGGGACCACTAACTGTTTCAGTTAGTGGCCCCTTTCTGTCCCACTACCCCAGGGGAAAACCAACTGCATTGCGACTATGTGGTGCTACCAGCCATACCACCAGCTACCCTACCACCCCTAGGGACCACCAGCTACCCTACCACCCCTGGGGCCCACCAACTACGCGACTACCCCGGGGGACAACCAGATGGCCCACCTGATCACATGCTAATCGGCCCGACTCAGCATGTTGACACAGTGCTTCATGACTGCTGCCCCCCCCCCCGTCCCCCCTCGAGCGGCGGCAGGAGAAGGAAGGCCCGCGAGGTAACTTATTATTATTATTCTCCTCCTCCTCTTCCTTTTCTTCTTCTTTTTTTTTGTTGTTGTTCTTCTTCTACTTCTGTTTCTTCTTCCTCTTGTTCTTCTTCTTCTTCTTCTTCTTGTTCTTCTTCTTCTTCTTCTTCTTCTTCTTCTTCTTCTTCTTCTTCTTTTTCTTCTTCTTTTTCTTCTTCTTCTTCTTCCTCTTCTTCTTCCTCTTCTTGTTAATTATTAAATCCTCGACTGTTGTTGCTGTTGCCTTTGTTGTTGTTGCTGTTCCTGGGGCAAAGACATCCTTTCGGAAATTCAGAAAGGGTTAAAAAGGATGAAAGAAATGTTGTGGGGAAGGGGAGGGGGATGGGAGGGAGGGGGAAGAGAGAGAAAGAGAGAAAGAGAGAGAAAGAGAGAGAAAGAGAGAGAAAGAGAAAGAGAGAGAGAGAGAGAGAGAGAGAGAGAGAGAGAGAGAGAGAGAGAGAGAGAGAGAGAGAGAGAGAGAGAGAGAGAGAGAGAGAGAGAGAGAGGTTGGATGAGAGAAAAAAAGTCAGATGAAAGAAGGCAGAAAAGAGGAGGAGAGGATAAGAGGGTAGGAGAGGAGAAGGGAAAGAAAAGGAGGGGAAGGGTAAAGGACGGGAAGAGAAAAAAGAGGGCAGAGCGGGGAGAAGAGGGGAAAGGAAGGAAGCGTTGAGGGCGGGAAGGAGTGGGGAAAGAAGAGGAAGAGGAGAAAGACAGAGGACGGAAAGGAGAGGAGAAAGAAGAGAAAGACAGAGGACGGAAAGGAGAGGAGAAGGAATAGAGGACGGAAAGGAGAGAGGAAAGAAGAGGAGGAGAGGGGAGGGGAGGGGAGGGGAGGGGAGGGGAGGGGAGGGGAGGGGAGAGGAGGGCGAGCAGGAGGCTTCCACCAGAGATGACGCAACAGAGCCGGTAAAAGCACACAACTTTTGCGACGCGGACTGGAATATGTTTGCGCAATACTTCCAAACAAAAGGCAGTCGGGACTTCAAAAAATCGGTCGTTTAATGCTGATCGATACTGTGCAAAGAGGATCCAAGCACGTAATTCCTCCCGTTACAAACCAGTCAACAAATAAACACAGCTGGTCAACAAAATAAACAAACAAACAAACAAACACCGCTGATCAACATATAAATGAACACACAGGATGATCAATAAATAAAAACACATGCGAACACTCCTGGTGAACACAAACAAATACCAACAAACAAGAAGCACAAACAAATACATGATAATCATTGGTCGACAACTGCGCCTATTCAGACCCCAATGCATGTCTCTTACACATTTGCCAACCCTAACGAGGGAGGGGGAGGGGGGAGAGAGAGAGAGAGAGAGAGAGAGAGAGAGAGAGAGAGAGAGAGAGAGAGAGAGAGAGAGAGAGAGAGAGAGAGAGAGAGAGGGAGGGAGGGAAAGAGGGAGGAGGGAGGGAGAGAAAATAAACAGAAACAAAAAAGAACCGAAAAAAGGAAAGAGAAAAGGGAGAAAACAAGAAAAAAAACAATAAGAAAGAAAGAGAGAAAGAAAGAGACAACTCAAAAGAAAAAAAGAAAAAGAAATGGAGGCAACGACGAGGACAGCGACGAGGACAGCGACGAGGACAGCGACGAGGACAGCGACGAGGACAGCGACGAGGACAGCAGGGCCCAGAACAGAATCCCGCCGAAAGGCCCTGTCCCGCCGCGACCCCGAGAGCCGCGCAGACGCCGACGAGGAAAGACCACTCCTTGTCCGAGAACTGGTTTATGAAGTCACCCTCGGCAGTGATGTCACGTGCCCCTCCCTTGGCACGCACCCTGAGGAGGACCTGGGTCGAGGAGAACTTGGCTCGAGGAGGACAATGAATGAACAAGAACGCCTTGGTGGCATAACCTAATGACCTATTTCTTCATTTTTTTTTCTTTTTTTTTTATAGGCTGCCTGATTCCCAATCGATGGCAACACCGTCCCTCGACTTTCATCTGAATAGATCTATCAAAAGGCGCTCTCTGGCAAGAAACAGACACATCTGCTCTTCAAAAAAAAAAAAAAAAAAAAAAAAAAAAAAAAAAAAAAAAAAAAAAAAAAAGACGAGGTAAATATAATAATCAAATAAAAAAATATTCGTTAGAGCAAAAACAATCATCGCAATAAACCCAGCGAAGACGACGATGATAACGATAACCATAACAGCAATAATAAAGTATTTTAAACAAAATGCAACCTATAATTACCAGGGCAGGACGCGAAGGAGGTTCTGCCCTTGAAAGCAAAGCAGATGAAGTGACACTACCGCCTTCAGGAGTAGCAGACGGCTCATTTGCCTCGAAAGCATCAAGAAGTCCCAGGCAACAAGCAACCCCGAGCCACCAACACGCAATCAACAAACAAAACAAACAAGACAAAACGCGTTCCAAGCCTTCCCAAGCAAACAAACAAACCCGAGCCACCAACACGCAATCAACAAGCAATCCAAACAAGACAAGAAAACGCGTTCCAAGCATTCCCAAGCAACAAGCAATCCCGAGCCACCAACACGCAATCAACAAACAAAACAAACAAGACAAAACGCGTTCCAAGCCTTCCCAAGCAAACAAACAACCCCGACCCACCAACACGCAATCAACAAGCAATCTAAACAAGACAAAACGCGTTCCTAGCATTCCCAAGCAAACAAACAACCCCGAGCCACCAACACGCAATCAACAAGCAATCCAAACAAGACAAGAAATCGCGTTCCAAGCCTTCCCAAGCAAACAAACAACCCCGAGCCACCAACACGCAATCAACAAGCAATCCAAACAAGACAAGAAAACGCGTTCCAAGCCTTTCCAAGCACCGGCCAAGTTCCCAAGAAGTCAGCCAGGATGCAAAGGAGCGCCGGGGTTCAATCAGCAACTCGGGAGTGAAAGTCGCAGTTTCATTTCGTCGTCCGGAGTCGAAGCGAGCACCTGCGTTGTATGAATAATGGGGGATTATCCGTGGAGGAAGTCCCGCGTCATTTGCTCAGGGAGGGGTGGGGAGGGGGAGGGAGAGGGGGGGGGAGGGAGGAGGAGGGAAGGAGAGCAAGGGGAAAGGGGAGAGAGGTGGTGAGGGGGGTAGGCGGAGGGAAGGAAGAAGGGAAAAGGGGAAGTGACTGAGGGGACAGAGGAGGGAGGGACAGAGAGAGAGAGGGAGAGAGAGAGAGAGAGAGAGAGAGAGAGAGAGAGAGAGAGAGAGAGAGAGAGAGAGAGAGAGAGAGAGAGAGAGAGAGAGAGAGAAAGAGACAAAGAAAGACATAGAAAGAGAGAAAGAGACAAAGAAAGAGGAAGCGAGACAAAGAAAGAGGAAGCGAGACAAAGAAAGACATAGAAAGAGAGAAAGAGACAAAGAAAGAGGAAGCGAGACAAAGAAAGACATAGAAAGAGAGAAAGAGACAAAGAAAGAGGAAGCGAGACAAAGAAAGACATAGAAAGAGAGAAAGAGAGCCAAAGAAAGAGAGAGTTCCCACTTCCGGATGGAGACGGAGAGGCGCCGTAAGTGGTATATACCTTTAACGTTATTTACTTCCCCTCGCTTATTCCTTAAGAGGCGTGGCAGAGTAAACTGATTCTTCAACCCGGTAAGGTCCGTAATCTTGCTTCTGGGCTAAAATTACCGAGGTTCCCAAAGAAGGAGAAATAGAGGGGAGAGGAAGATGGGGAGGGGTGAAGGAGGAGGAGGGGGGAAGGGGGGGGGGTGGAGGGGGAGGAGGAAGTGGGAGGAGGAAGGGGGAGAGGAGGAGGAGGAAGGGGGGAGGAGGAGGAGGAAGGGGGGGAGGAGGGGGAGAAGAGGAGGAGGAAGGGGGAGAAGAGGAGGAGGAGGAGGAGGAGGAGGAGGAGGAGGAGGAAGAGGAGGAGGAGGAAGGGGGGAGAGGAGAAGGAGGAAGAGGAGGAGAATAAGAACTATAAAAGGAATAATAAGAAAAAAAAAGAATGAGATGAACAAAAAAAAAATTAAAAAAAGAAAGAACAAACTGACGAAAAGACAAAGACAAAACGAAGAAGAATAAATAAAGAATAAAAGAAAACAATAAAGCAAAATCATCCCGATTCCTCATAGGATCCGTCCCTCAGGATCCTCGTAACTTCCAGGACGCGCTCGGGAACAAGTCGGGGGGGGGGGGGGGGGGGGGTCCTTCTCTCACTCTCTGTCACATATGCTAATCGGGGGAGTCCTAGGCTACTGATCGATTTTTCCTAAAGTGACCTTTCTCGCACCAAAAAAAAAAAGAAAAAAAGAAGAAAAAATCCCTCTTTAAATAACATATTCCTCTCGATGATCAATGTTAAACTGTTATTGTTAAATACGGAAGGACTAGAATTTTATGGTTAAATGAAAAGGCTAAGTAACTAAAGCAGACAGAGCTTGCAAGAGTCCTCCGGCATTACATATCATATTACACATTACACATTACACCACGCCTCATAATACATGTTAAACTACAAATCATACTGTGCATTACACCGTACATACAACACACCACGCATATACTGCACACAATACCACATATCGTATTAAACATTACATCACAGATCGTTTTACACACTACACTACGTATATCGCCCACACACACACACACACACACACACATAAACAAACAAATACCCATCAAGAAACACACAGACAACTCTCCTGGATAGAAAGAAGGAGAAGAGAAGAAGAAGAAGAAGAAGAAAAAAAAGAAATCCCTAACACAAGTAAACGACAAAACCCTCTCGAGGATAAAACAGACCCACCTATCCGTAATTCTTTTTTTTTTCTCTCTCTCTCTCTATCCTTAAAAGCGAGCAAAGAGACCTCCCGTGCTCCAAGGCAACAACAGCAACGCATAAACACTGGTGGTTGTTTCTCTCTCGTCTCCTTAGGCAGGTGATGTTTTCATTCGATACACTTAATCACACAGTCAGGTTTCGTTGGTTGCAGGAGAGGACAGAGAGATAGAGGGAAGGAAGGAAGGAAGGAAGGAAGGAAGGAAGGAGGGAAGGAGGGAAGTAGGGAGGGAAGGAGGGAAGTAGGGAGGGAAGGAAGGAAGGTAGGAAGGAGGGACGAAAGGAGAGAGAGAGAGAGAGAGAGAGAGAGAGAGAGAGAGAGAGAGAGAGAGAGAGAGAGAGAGAGAGAGAGAGAGAGAGAGAGAGAGAGAGAGAGAAGCAGACAGAGTGGGAGAGAATAAGAGCATAGGAGGAATACATTTCCCAGGGTCTACTTATATCTGACTCTCTCATTTCCCTTCTCGCGACCTTTACAATAATCTGGTAAATCCCTCGGGGTTCCCAAGCTCACACGCACACAAACAGTTGCTTCTGACTCCTTCCTCTCAATTTGCCCCTTTCTCCTCTTCTTCTTCTCCTCCTTTTTCATCTCATTCTTCTACTCCTCCTTCTCTTTCTTCTTCTTTTTCGTCTTCTCTTTCCTTTCTTCTTTTTTGGCTTTTTCTCTTTCTTCTTCTTCTTTTTCTTCTTCTTCTCCTTCTCCCATTTCTTCTCTTTTCCTTTTCCCTCTCCTCCTTCTCCTTCTCCTTCTTCCTTTTCTATATTCTTATTCTCTCACCCATGATGACACTACGGTTATTTCTATTATTAGGACTTTTTGTCATCGTCACTGTTATCATAGCCAACTATGATCATTATTCCCTCTCCACTCTCACGAGAACTGCCCTACTCCTCTCCCCCCCCTCCCCCTCCCCCCCTCCCATACTCTCCTCCTCCTACTTTCCCTTCCTCACCCCTCCTCCTCCTTTCTCATCTCCCTACTATTCCCGGTCCATTTTCCTCCCCTTCCTATCTTCCCATCTCCTCTCTTCCTCTCTTATCCTACCCTTCCTTCTCCACTCTCCTCCTCTCCCTCTCCCTCTCCTACCCTTCCTTATTCACTCCTCTCCTTCTCTCCCTCTCCTCCTACCCTTCCTTACCCAATCTCCCCTCTTCCTACCCCCTCCATACCTTTCCTTCTCCACTATCCTCCTACCCTTCTTTATGTACCCTCCTCCCCCATTTCCTCTTCCTCCTCCTCTTCTCCTCCCCATCCTTCCTTCTCCACACTCCTCCCCCTCTTCCTCTCCTCCTCCCCTCCCCTCTTCCCCTCCGCCTGCACACCAACAAAACACACATTTCGTAATGGTGAGTTGCAGTAAAGAACTTCCCCCGTGTGTACGTATGTGTGTGTGTGTGTGTGTGAATACCTACCACAACGTCTTCATCACTGCTTCCAACAATACGACGACAACTTCCCAAAGAAAAGGAGGAAAATATAGAGTATTACAACTTCACTACTTTTTTTTCTTGGCTCTCTCTCTCTCTCCCTCTCCCTCTCTCCCTTTCGTGCACTATGTGTGTGTCTATTTATAATGTGTACAGTTATATAAACCGACAAACAAATATATATATATATATATATATATATATATATATATATATATATATATTTTTGTTGTATATATATTGTATATATATATCATATATTATATATATATATCATATATTATATATATATATCATATATTATATATATATATATATATATATATATATATATATATATATATATATATATATATATATTTTTTTTTTTTTTTTTTTTTTTTTTTTTTTTTTAATTGCATATACATTGTATATTTATTGTATATATATTATATATTATATATCATATACATATTATATATATATACACACACATATATTGTATTTATATTGTATATAAATTGCATATATATTGTATATATATCATATATATCATACACACACACACACATACACACACACATACATAAACATATACAGTACATCCACATACACAATCTTATATGCATTTATATATATACCATTTATTCATTCATTTATTTATTCATTCACATGTCTACCAACTGATATAGCCATCCATCCATTCACTTCTTCATGACGACAGCGAAAAACACCACAGCACAAACAACAACAAACACACTGTCGACCCCCCTTCCCTTTCCCTTTTCCCCTTCCCTCCCCCTCCCCCTCCCCACCCCCACCCCATCAGTGCCCTCCCCCTCACCCTTCCCCTCCCCTCTTTCTCCTTCCTTCCTTCCCTCCCTCCTCCCCCTCCCCTTCCCACTCCCCTCCCTCCTTCCCTCCCTCCCTCCTCCCCTCTTCCCCCTTCCCCTCTCCTCTTTCTCCTTCCCTCCTCCCCTCTTCCCCCTCCTCCTTCCCTCCCTCCCTCCTCCTTCCCTCCCTCCCTCCTCCCCTCTTCCCCCTTCCCCTCCCCTCTTTCTCCTTCCCTCCCTCCTTCCCTCCCTCCCTCCCTCCCTCCCTCCCCCCACGCACCCCGCCTTTCCACGCCCTTCCCGAGCCCGTTCGCCGCG